TACTTCCTCGTCTGCTCGCCACACAGATTGAGATCCAAAACACCATGCTCGCCAACTACTATACCGTAGTCCACAACTACTGCCAGGAGACGCAGTTCCCCTCCCCGGCTCCCCCCATGGAGCAAGTCATCCAAGAATGGGAACGTGACCACCTCCCCGTCCAACAAGAAGTCGAAGCATTCGGCTGCATCGTCAACGGCAAAACCGTGAAAATGTCCCAAGTCCCCGAGGAATCACGAACCTCCCGTATCACCAGCCGTCTCCCAGCCATCAACGGAACCTCATTCTCCCGTCGTCCCTCGAACTCAAACACAAACAGCGAGACCCCTCCACCCAAGCCCCCACGGCCCACTTCACCGTCTGCTACAGCTGCAGCGACAGCCACAGCGACAGCAATCAGCAACAAAAAGCTCCCCCCACCCCCCAAACCATCCTACGACACCAAACCATCCCCCGTCTTCGAAACCAAACCCCGATTAGCCTCCTCAGCATCCAACAACAACCTCACCATCCCCTCCACCTACCACCTCTCCCCCCAACCATCCTCCTCCCCAGGCACCGAATCCTACTACTCCGCAACCGAGCACGCCCGCACCCCATCCCCGGGCCCCTCATCCTCCGTCGCCGCCCGCGCCGACTACTTCAGCCGCATCCAGCCCTCATCCACCCCATCCAGCGCCATCCGAGCAACTTCCCCCGGCGTGAGTGCCTTAGTCGCCGGGAAAAAGAAGCCCCCGCCGCCGCCCCCACCCCGGGCTAACTCGAACAATGCCATGTACGTGACGGCCCTGTATGACTTTGGAGGTCAAAGTGCTGGAGATTTGGCCTTCCGGGAGGGAGATCGGATCCGTGTTCTGAAGAAGACGGATAGTACGGATGATTGGTGGGAGGGGGAGCTGCGCGGGGTGAAGGGGAGTTTTCCGGCGAATTATGTGGAGTGATTCTTTTGTGGTGGTTGAAGTACATAGCTGGGAGGATGTGTGGTGTGGGGATGGGTAGGGGTTAGGGGAAGAATGACAGAGTCAAATGTATTCCATATATTTATTCATATTTAGTAGTTAATATCTTGATATCATTTCCCCTTGTTGGGGAGTTTTTAGTGGTTAGGGAGCGGATCATACGGTGTATATAGTGTACATGGATTGTCTTCTCTGATTAAGAGGGCAAGTACTTATATGGAAGCGTGTCATTGGACAATGACTTGGTCTAAGTTTTTATCATACACACTATTACTAGACTGATTTGTCTCATCTGCCACAATTGGAGTGGGTTCAATCTTTAAAGCGTCAGTCATGACCAAAAGGATAACCGAAAAGATACAGATAACCCATTCCTAGTAGGACGTTCGCTAGCGTAGACTTCCTGCTCGACGGCTAAATAAACGCACCCTCGGATGGTGCTGCGTCGGATATTTCGGTGCCCATTCGTCGTCGTCGACTTTCCAGAAACATATCCACCATGCGTTTACTCGAGATGGGCGAGTACATGTTCTGCAGCTGACTGTCCTGGCTAGTGGCCTCATGGTAGCCACTCTCGGCACGGACATTCTCGTCAGTCAATCTTCTATTCTCATAAGGTGCACGTGAATTCCTGAATTGGGAGGCCTTCGAATCCAATCTGGAAGGCTGTCTCCCATAGCCTCTACCCCCTGTTCTCCACCGGGCTTTGTCCGTTGCATCTCTTCTTGGAGTCGGGGACTCAGGGGCTCGATATCGATAATTCAATAGCGCAGGTACTGGTGACAAGGCCATACCATCAGGCCGTGTCTCGACCTGATTAATGAACAAGCTATGCCCGCTGGAGCTGCTTGATACCTTGGGGGTCAAGTCCGCCGGCGGCGGAGGTGGAACCAGAGTATCTGGTTGCTCCTTCGGGGCAATAATTGTGGTGCGTATACTGGATGACCGACTGAACGGACGTGAGAAGTTATTTCTGGCTGTTACTTTGCAGGTCGTCCACAGGTCTTCGTCTGGTGATCCACTCCAAAAGCCTCGTGTGTCTCGAGATGGAGTTCGGTAAGCGAAATCAGCTCTTTCGTCTTGGATTTGGGCATCTTCTCGATAGTGACGCCTGGTAGGTGTGAGGCATTCAATTCGCTCCATTTGCGTGTGCATCCATTGCTGCCAATCCCCACTCGGTCGTTGCATCGCATCGGGACCCTGGCAAGAATTACGCTTTGGCGAGCTATAGATCGCCCGCTGACTTGCGTATATGGTAGCCACACCTGGTTCATTCGCCACTTCAGGGTCACACCCACCCGGTTTCGGGTCCGTTGTACTGGGCGAGTTTCCGCCTGTTGAGCGAGAATATATACTTGGGGAATCCTCGCTTTCCTCTGGGCTCTGAGACCTTCCCATAGCCACGTTTCCAGTCTCGTCTCTAGAAGCCTCCTTGATAGTGTGTTTGGACGATGCTAGTTTGGAAATATCATAATAGTTGTCCTGCAGATGCTTTTTGCCATGGGTGCGCTGAGCCTGACATGGAATTGTTTCGCAGGGCGTGACTGTGCCCGCATCAGCTGTCGTATAGGAACCGGGGCTCTGAAGTGACTCATCGCTGGCAATCAAACGAATCGTCTTCTTACTACGGCGAGTGTACATTGAGGACACAGATGTCGGAATTGCGCGATGTTCCTTGACGTGGCCAAGGACGATTTCCTCGTTTGCATTCTCCGTCTTGTTCCCATCGATGCGCCTCATCAGCGCAGAATACAAGCGCTGACTGTCTATCGTACAGTTAGGCTTTGGAGTGCGACGAGTGGCCAGTGAAGCATCTTCGGATGAGTCCGGCTTGAGGACGGAGCTGTCTTGTTCGTCTATAACAGACAAAGAGCTGTGGTCGTCTGCTCTATGTGTTACTACAGTGTTTGCTATCGTCGAGTCCGCCCAGCTCATTACGCGGGAGCGACTTGTGGCAAGGCTCTCAGAGCTTCCAGACTTCTTGACTCCTGTATATATCACAGTTCCCTCGGTACCTGGTGAGTGGATAAGGACGCTTTCCTCGATGCCAGACTTCAGGAGATCCGAGTGCTTTTCGGATATTGACGAGTGCGACCCCTGGGTCCGTTGTTGGTCATTTGAGGGGGATTTCCCAAGAGACACACGGGCCGAGGATGGTCTGGAGAGCCAAAACACCTTCTTGAGTCCTTTCTTGAGGGACGACGACAGTGATCTAGCTTTGGCGTAGGATATGACGTTAGTGGACCGCTGCGTTGCCGGCGACACACTTGCTAGCTCTGCGTCTGACACCCCTGAACGGAGTGTTTTCTTCAAGGGTTTGTGCTCCCGCCTTGACTTGGGAACTATTAGTGAAGATTTCCGGGGTTCAGTCTGATAGTGTTCCGGCCGCTGGTATTGATTGCGTGCCAGTTCAATCGCCGCATCCTGACCCTTAGCGTATTGGAGAGCATCAGAATCGCGAGTGTCACCTCGGAAGAATGACATGGAGCGTCTCAGCGTGCCAGGAGCGCGTGAATGATCTCGAGGCTCTCTCTTAGCCGGAAAATTGTTGCTCGGATATCCAGGTGAGGCCAGTCCACGAGATACATGGGAGGAGCGTTGCCAATTCGTGAACATCGATCGGGTTTTGCGGAGTCGCCGATAGGAAGAAGGCAAAGTAGCGATCCCGGCATCGAGTCCTCCAAACTCCCTGATAGACGGTAGACCAGCTGGTGGAGAACGATTGATCGCCTTATCGAGCACAGACCGACGAAGATCTTCATTCTCAGCGGAAGCATTTGTAGAATTGAATGCAGCACCTGCAGGTCGATGTTGTCTCTGAGGCACAGCCATTTGACTTGGACCACCGAGAACATCATACGAGCACTTGGAACGCAGCATCGCTCGAGTCGCAGCCGTGGTAGCTTGAAACCTAGCAAGCTCTGGATCTAAGGGCTCGGTAGATTGGGAGCTGTGATGGCTTCTTCTCATGGACCGAGACGATTGCGATCTTCGCAGGGGTTCCATGGTGTTTATAAGACATCCAACGGATGATGTATTCAGTGAGGAAGTATGAGAGATGGATGATAGAGATGTAAAGGCAGCAGTTATCAGAGAAGATGGGTATCCATGTTGGCAGAGCAGAGGGAAGGCGCGTTCCTGCCGAATATGGACATGATAGTTGCACTTGCACTGTCATTACCACTGCTATCACAATCACTGCATGACACAAATCGCTTGCCATTAAACTATAGTAGCTGCTATAGGGGGGTTAGAGAGCTTGGGGTCTTCAAGCTTCCCCATAGAGCCCTTATTTATAGTACGATAGGCGAATGTTTGACACCTATAGCATAAACAATAAAATCAGTAGGTGAAGGAACAGGAAGAGCCATGTGTAACCTTCCGATAGCCAGCAGTCTCAAAGTAGCATCTGGTGCGCAGTTATCTTTCCAAGTTTGCGAGCTTCTGGGTGCCAGCACAATGGCCTTATTGACGATATATACCATGTCCAGTCAGTTATATCTTCTTTCATGTCTGTACGTGACCGAAGAAAGAGTAGAATCGGGTCCTCCAATGAGTGCAAGTAGATAGTATTAGTAGATAGATGATCGCATGGACCATTCGTTCAATATCCAGTGCATATCCAGTGTGTACTAGGCAAAATTATACTAATTGTTAGTAATCAACATGTGATTTTCTTCGAGAGAAAGAGATACTAATATCTATGAAGTTATGAATGAGCAACCCTCATAATGTTCTTTAGTACCAGTGAAAATATATATATCTACGAGTACACACCATAAAATACATGCATATAATTACATCAACCCAAGCACTAAGACTTCATTAACTAATACATACACAACCAATCTACTAAAAAAGTAGTAGTAGTAGTAGTAAGATCGGAACCCAAAGCCGAGCCACATCACCACCACTACCACAGTTATCAAACAAAAGTTCCGGCACGGGGTCCCTGTCATAGCCGAGACGCCAACAATCTTCCCGCGCAATGATGATGATGATGGCGATGACGACGCCACACCCTCATCCAAGTTCCAACCCACACCACCCATTCCGATAAACCCAGTGGGCAAGGGGGAGGGACGCGTTATGCTTCATCTCGGGAAGACTGGGGCCAGCATACGTCAGATAGTCAATCACCGTGACCGTGCACACATACACAACAACACACGGGTCGCAGGGTCAACAGGTGTTATGAGCGACACCATGATTGGTAAGTAACTAGGCAACCAATTACTGACAAGCTACTTAACATATATCTGAATAGTGGTAAAATGAAAGTATGACAGCCCGGCATGTACATGTAAGTCGAAAAGCGATGAACATCCGGGATCCGCGCTCTGCAGGGGTCTGGAACCCAAGTTCTCGTTCTGCGTCTTCTTCTTCTCCTCCTTCTCCCCGGATGTCACACCGAAGAAGATTGGGGAGAAGGAAGGGACCGAAAAAAAAAAAAGCAAGAACCAAGGATCGACAACGGTCTGCAGGCATTAGATACATTTCCGGAGTCCGGAGTTGCGAAGGAGGAGTAAAGTCGACGGACGGTTCGGGACTGTCAGCCGATCATCTTACCCTATTATTTAGGTGTAGTTCTTTCATTGCCCGTTGCTTTTTTTTTTTTTTTTTTTTTTTCTTCTGCCTTCCTTCCAAGTAAAAAAAAATATAACTGAATAAGGTGAAAAGAAAAGAAAGTAGATACCTAGGGCAAATGCATTATTCGATTTTTTGTTTTAAAAAAAGAGGATAATAAATCGTACAATTAGCCGAATGGGTATGGAAATCGACCAACGATATTACAGAGCACACATGACATGACAAAGAAAATGGTACACGGAGGTGTGGGAACCAGACAAAGACGGTATAGAAAGCGAGGAAGGGGGAGAGAAAGGAAGAGGGAAAAGAAGAATAGAAGAATGACCGGGCGAGTAAAAGAGAAAGAGAGAGATCCAGCCTGCACCCCCTGCGTCCACTGTTGATTGAGTCTCAGCGGTGTGTGCGCGTTCCTGCTGTCGGCAGTCCTGGACTGTCAAGCCCAAGCAGCTCTCTTTCTCTCCCTCTCTATTTTTCTCGCCATGGCCCCTTCCGGGCCCCGATCATAACCATCCGACAATCCACCCAGTAGCCCATTAATAAAATATAGATAATCAAAATGCCGTTCCTGTGATTAAAAAAGAAGCAAACCCACATGTACACCAGCCTACTCGACCGCCCTCCACCCTTCCCGCGCTCTGCGGTTTTGTCCGGCGAAAGAGACGGGGAAGGATGGCGGACGAGAGTGGAACAGTGCCAGACCGCCAGGACAAATAAAATCGATAAAGCCGCCCTTCCATGGTATAATAGATGATCGATCAAACTCCCAGCAATGCATCAAGTCAGAGAGCATCAAGCCGCATACGGTAAGCGAGAAGCGAAGAGTTGGCGAGATAGGCTCAAAAAATTCCCTGGGTTTGGTCCCAGCCGGCAGGACCCCTGGAAATATGCACAGTGATCCTTTGGAATCTCTGCACCCGTCCTTTTTTAAAGCGCCATGGGATCGTAGCCGTGTCGTCATAGGGAGCGCTCGATCTCCTTGAATGGTGAATCGTTGAGGATCTCCGATGGAAGGGCTCTCCGGTAGTCTCGGGGCTGGGCAAAGGGAGATGCTGAAAGAGGCCGACGCAGCTTCAATTGCTGTAAATCGCTATGTTAGTGTTGGGGTTCACGTAGAATGCAAGTGAGATGCGGAGGTTCGGTTTAGGGCTGACGACTTACCACACAGTCAGAGCATTTGCCTCCCTGGATGTTCACGCGACCGCGGCAACCGCGAGGATAATTGGCACAAGAGAACATGGCGATTTTTTTTGTGGGGGAAAGTTGAGAAATGCGTAGATGTTTTTTTCTTTCGGTAGTCGTGGTTCGAGTGAAGAAGATAAATCCCGTCAAGGGAGCTTTTCTAGGGCTGAAACTTGCTGTCTTGGAGCGGAGCAGGAAGGGGAAAAAGTACAATAAAAAAAGAAGTGTCAAAAGCACCGAAGACAATGAATAGTAATGAAGGAGAGACAGAGGGGAGGGTTGAAAAAAAAATTCAAAATAGCCCCAATCGCAAGCCACGGGGCAATTACGTCAAGATCGCAAGGCCGTTGTCTTGCAGCGGCACCAGCAAGGGGAGCGAAAAAAAGGAAGCGTATTTAGGCGCACCGGCCGGGGTCCGTTGAGGTTCTAGCGCTGAGGTTAGGCTGCGCCACTAAAGTGGGTGGTGGATGGGGCGAAGAGAGACACAAAAGTGCAAGAGCGTGCAGCAGTTGACTAGCAAAAAGGAATGAGTGACAAAAGGAGTGCAGGGCAGATAAATCGATCGATCAACGGTCAATTATCACACGGAGGGAAAATGGGATGGAACGTCGAGGAGACCTAAGAGGAAAAGGAGGTAAATTTGAGGGATCTCAGATTTATATCAGTAATGGAGATCTATGCGAAACGGCTTCCAGGAAGATCGGGGTAAAGGGTCGTCGAAGAACGGGCGAGTATTAATGATAATAAATTCGGAAAGAGAAAAAAAATATGTCAAATAATATAAAGCAAGCTATGCAAATGGTCGTAATAGGCAAAACAAATATTAATTTTGGGGTACCATGGCATCCAACGGGCCACGGGACGGGGCAAGATGGAGCCCGTGTGTATTTTGTTCTGATGCAGCCCTCGAATTGGAACCAGACTTGTCTAGATACCCAACTGTGTATGGTCAATGATTACTACCTTGTGGTGCTGGTGACAATGGTGGCGATGATGGATACTAGTAAACAAATCATAAACGCCGGGACTCACCATCATCTATCTCAGCATTCGTAATTTGAGTGTACCACAAGGGCCTGCCTTCGCTTGCTATCCTGGGCATCACCGACTGCTGGCCTTGGCATAAATTATTTGGCTCCCTTTGATGTTGATGGACTCCCAACGGGCCATTGGTTCTTCGAATGCCCAACAGTGGACTCTGGTGTTTCCCGCCTGGCTCTTCGAAGGTGATCCGGAATGGGGAAAAGGGAGGGGGCAAAAGAGCGAAGGGGAAAGGAAAAAAATTTTTTTTTTTCTTGTTGTTCCCGAACCTACCATACAGTCTGCCCCCATGTAACAAGCTGATCGCCCATATGACTCGCAGTTTTGGCCCCTGGGTGAGTGGAGGATGGATGACTTGATTGCAGGGCGGCGTGGGCCCTGTCAAAAAAGTGATTTTCACGACTCAACCATGCATCACAATGCAGCTGGTGTTGTCAACCTGGTCGCTTAAGATAGAGAAGCAGATAATAATTGGGGGACCCACTGGTACCAACAGCCGGCATCGTAGCAGCCCATGGAGTTTCGAATAGATGAGGGTAATAGAGCCGTAGCAGCAGAGTCTGGATCTTGGGCCCGAACCGTCGCACCAAGAAAGTTTCCACAGTTTCTGGAACGTCGACTGAGCTTCTTCTCCTTTTCTCTCACAGTTTCCCTTCTCCCCCCTTTGCCCCTTTCGGAGTTGGCCCCCTCTTCTCTCAGTCTCACCCCTTTTGCCCTCTTTAGTGCGCAGTCAGCTGTCGGAAGACACGGGTGAAGTGACCAATGAAAGGGCGGTTTTACTGTCTGGTCTTTGTTCTCACCCTGGCATTGCCTTGATCCATGGCATTCATCGTTACTTCAATCGGGTGAGTCAGAAGACAACCTGAGTAGAGTCTGGATGACACCGAACGGTCCTCCGCGTCTTCCCTGGTCGCATCCTTGTCTTCCGTTGTGTTACCTCCGTTGATCACCCCTCAATTGCCTTGTTTTGTGGTGATCATTATTGCTTTCCCAATACAATTTGCCTGTTCGCCTCTCTTATTTGGGCCTTTCAATTATTTTTTTTTTTCTTTTTTCTTTTTTTTTCTTTTTTTTTTCCTTTAGTTTAAAAGGTAGTAGTCTCGGTAAGAGTCAAGTAGGAGTCACTAGGTTCCGCACCGCTGGGTTGGCAAAAGTGGAGGGATGCCTGATTGATGCCTGCCGCAAAGCCGTGGGCGGTAAAACCGTAAAGCCTAGCTTTCCCACAGCCTAGCTGAGCCTGACAGAGGAGGGGCAGGGTATGATTGTGTCTCAGAAGCAGCCAGCCAGTTCAGTTCAGTCCAGTGCGAAAGGAATACGATCCGCAATTCAGCCTTGTTCATGGCCATCGGGGTCAGGATCCGTCCAGCATGTGCTGCTTAATCCAGTAGTTGGACAGGTTGAAGCCGACAGACCCAAGGGAAATCCTGTCAGATGAGCCCTGGGTTCTTCCAGGCTTCCGCAATTGGTCCGCCTGCACAGAAATGCCGTGCCCAGCCATCGGTTTCAGCGAACCTGACAGTAGTAGGTAATCACAACGAGCGCCAGAGAGTTCTGTTCCAGGGCCGATCCAGCAGACATCCCGGGCCGGAGGGTCCAGACCTGGACCGTCATTGTGCGGTACGGCCGAAGGCTGGTATATGGCTGAGCACAGCATCCATCGATCAATAGTGGAAAGTAAGAGGAGGGGGGGGGGATAGTAGTATGAGGAGGGGAAATGGCAGCATCGGGAAACTTGATCTATGGTGGTCACTTGACCTCCAAAGGATCATGTGCCTGTAGGCTTACACGGATGGTCGCATTGGTTATCTCTACTTTACTACACAGTGATATACAGTAGGTACTAGAAAGTTGCTCTAGATTCCATTCTATAGTTCCAAGTTGGGTGTTAGGGACGACTCATTGATGCTCTACCACTGCCTCATTTTTGTGCACTCGGTAGGACTAACCGGGTCTTAACGGACTACTCTCAACTCCGTTGACCGCAATATTATACTACTGACTACTAATCAATAATTCCATGACCCGGTGTGCACTTGCATGTGTTCTTCCTGCCACCATCCGGCAAGTAAGATCAAACCAATCTCTCACACAATCACAAGATAGTTGGAAAGGGCCGAAGCAGAGTCTTGGCGAAGCCTGTGATAATTTGTTTGATTTCCATATTAAGATTTGAATCAATTACTTAATTATCAATTATACCAGAACCAAAACCACAAGCACACGCACCGTATGATATCTCAGTGTGGATATCTCCAGCAGCAAATTACCGTCCATTAATCCCCATTAATGAGCAGCAAATTACCACCCATTCAATAGATTATACCTTGCAGCATATATTAATATCAAGCGTATATTAAAGAGAAACCAGCATCGTCACCATCTTTCATCATTACCAGACGGACGACCACTACCAAGCCGCTGTAACCGAATCCGGTCGAACAACAGTGTGCGTCGGTTACTAAATGGTTTCACCAGTGAGCCAAAAGAGCGGATCCTCTCTTCCTCCAACAATTCAGAAATGCATCCATCTCTTACCACCATTGATAACTAGGCACAAGTAGTTCCGCTGAACGATGGAAAACCCTTCCTTTAGCGTCATTTTTGGTGGTCTCACTTGCTTCGCTTCCATGGAGCGGGCAGCCCGTCCGTCCCTCTCATTAGCTATTCGCCTTGTTTCTCAATTACCTCGGGACTGGCCCGCTCTGCGACAAGACCCGCCCTTCTAATTAAATATTATGTATTAGATATTTTATTTATCTATTCAGCAATCAATCTATCCTATATAACCGAAGCACGTCTTCAGCTTGACCTTGAAGATCGACCAACCGTGCAATTGCTCCCACTTTGCTTGGACGGCAAGCGGCAAGCCATCGACTAATTAGTAGACGAGTCTGGATGCCCATCTGGAAGGAATCCATACCCACTGACCGGGTCGCAAGGCTGGATACGACCAAGCCCGTCAGACGGTCAGTGTCCCGATCTAACCGGGGCCAAACTTTCTTCTGTAACGGCTCCATCGTCTCCGGGCACTACTAGGTTGTGTCGCCGGGAATTTGGGAATCCTAGAACGGAAGCCCAGATTTAGCGGAAGCACACAGTGTGGCTTGTACACCTTGCAAATAATCACCAACCCCCGCCCAGGAATCCTTTACTCCTTGGGAAGAAATTGGTGTCTAGATTGTCGATCTGCTTTGAGCCTCTTCATCCGTGCCGGTCCTTCCTCTTTCCGTCTTCATTGGGCATTGTTCCCGACCGTTCTAGATCCGGCTCCCAGTCAGCTGACCCGGTGCAGAGGCAAATCCAATGTTATAGCTTGCTGGGTCCCACTGCAGGTATGGATCCAATACGATGTCGCCTTGAATGCGGTGCCGCCGTCTCAGATGGACGAGGATGTGAGTTATGCTGCGCCGAACGACCTTGGAGACAATTATTCCCCCGCGGTCGAGATGTTACCATCGTTTGATGGTGAAACCCGAAATAGCCCATGAAGATCCAGAATGATCACCCGTTCGTATTGACTTTGCATCTGCTACGGGAGATCGGGATGATCCACATGGGTCACAATTTCAGGAAAACTCCGCAGAGCTGCAAGTCTGCAACGCATCTTCAAACGTTAAAGAACGATTGGAGCACGAGCCACGCCCCCAGAAGTCCTACCGCCGATGCAAGTAACAGGCCGTTTCCCTCCCAGGTCAAGGCCAGGTACGCCAAAAAGCCCACCGCAAGTTCCTTCCGTCGCGCGGCATCTCGTTTAGTCTCCCATTCTGGATCGATCGGGAAAGGGACACTCATTTGCGTCGTATCTTCTGGAAGCACGGACTGCGCCGGGATAGTTACGGCCAAGGCGACGGCGCGATGATCGGAGGTTGGGAATAACGGCAGAGCATCATACTTTAAAGGTTTGACCTGACCTCGCTTGCTCGTGCCCGGTGGAGACTCCAGATACAACACACGGTCGCACCAACTGGGCCAGCGGGTCCTTGTCCACTTCCAATCTGGGCGAGCATTATCTGCCGTTGGATCACTTGCTGCCTGGCGTGCTGCCAACGTATACTTGTATGTTGGGGGGAATGTGATCGGGGCTTCGGAGAGTCCGTGGAAACACCGAGACTGTTCCATCTCGCGGGAAAGCTGATCTTGTTTCAAGAGATGTGAGTAGTGCTGAGGGTCGGAAGGGTCTACATCCGCTTGCGGGAATCGGCTATGGTCGTCGGGTCGCGGCGATACGTTGGAGGTACGGTAATTAAGATCACCCGCTAGGAAGAGGTAGCTTGTAGGCGTGTAGATGCCCCGATGGCCTTCCTGGGATTGCCGCAGCAGGGGCGCACTTTCCTCCGCGTTGGCTGTGTCGGGGCCACCTGCAGCAGGTGAGTAGCTGAAGACCAATCTCTCGACCAAGCTGCGCCAGTCTGCGTTCCTACGCTCGACAGCATACTCCATGGGGGCGAGGTGCGCAGCAGCGAAAGTGAGGTCTAAAGGATCCCCGGCTCCTGCTGCGCCTCTGTAGGCAATGCGCGCCCCCACGGCACCCTTGTTGCCCATGTCTTGGAAGCCAAATCCTACACGGGCGGTATTAATGGATGAGACTTGGTCAGCGACATCCGACCGAGCGAAGACCATCAGACCGGTCATCCCGGAATTGTCGGTAACCAGATTGACGTAATGGACATCCCAGTATTGGGCAACTGCGCGATCCACCACCTGTGTCAGAGCCGAGAAGTATGGCGTTAGAAACGAGCCTCCGAGAAAGGCATAGGCGATAGGAGCTATTTCCTGCAGGGAGAGCACGATGAGTTCCGGGGCTGCGGGCGAGCTGGAACCATCGGTGCGGGGTAAGGCATCGAAGAAATGGCGGGAGAAGCGGTCGACGTCGACGGGGTTTCGAGCGCAATTGAACGTGAGGATGTAGAGTAAGAGCGAATCCATTGTGTGGGTGGGTTTCAGTGGGCTTAATCTTGTTTCATGAGATGCCCAACAGTCAACAGCGAAGACCGAGCGTATAATGCGAAATGAGAGAAAGCGAAGGTTGAGATTGAGACAGAGATCTTGGAGAGCTGGCACGGTGGACATGTGGCGATCAGTGGATCCGTTGCCGGGGAATGAGATCATTGCTGCCATTGATCTATCACCACCTCATTATCACCACCACAACTACCACCACCAAACACTGCGCACAAAAATAGCAACATGAAAACGCAGTGTAGTGCTTTAGCATTGTCTGATTTATTTTTGTATTATCATTCCATCATCCCAGAGCTGTTATTTGATGTTTGACCGCTCCAGTGACACCTTCACACCGTTTTAGAGCTTCCCTTGCAACCCGTCGGTCAACTCCACCAACAACATCCCTTCAGCCACATCTTCCTCTTCATCTTCCATCTCATACACCCATTGTGCTTGCCCTGCGCGCGGACTGCGCACCTCCACCTCCATCTTCATCTGCTTGATAAACGCTATCACCTGGTTCTCAGCTACATGATCCCCGGCCGACACAAGCACTTCAATTAACTTCCCAGATAGAGGAAGGACAATGTGTCGCGGGTTGCTCATGTCTCCGCGGCGATGAGCAGATGAAAATAAAGCAGATGCTGTAGTTGAGGTGGCTGCGAGTTCCAGCCGATAGGCACTGGAAGAATTGGGTGTCTGGTACTCGATCTCCGCTGCAAGCGAAGTCGGAAAGTCATTCCGCAGCACGCGTGTAAGTTGGAGATGATGTTGCTGTGACTTTTCAGACGCTTCCACTTGTGTGAGACTGATTGACCATGCATCTCCTCGCCGAAATAGGAGATTCGAAGAAGGCACACTAGGCAATGCAGAGGGATGCTGTCCCTGTCCAGATGCTTGAGTACGGACCGATCGGGAGACTATTGCTCCCTGCTGAAGCACTTGATCCAGACTGGACTCCAGCCACTGTGTGTCAACCCTTCCAGAAAGGAAGTCTTCCTGAGCAACAACCCCTCTCAGCAACTCCAAGTTAGTCCGGATACCAGCCACTGTTGTGTCTGCAAGCACTCGCCGGGCCTTGAGCACTGCGGCCTCCCAGGTAGATGCAGTGACAATAATCTTAGCAAGTAAGTTATCCAATTGCGCCCCTACCACAACAGGACTGGCCCCAGCAGCACGAACATGCGTATCAACTCTCACGCCACGACCACTCGGAACAACCAACTCAGTCACCTTCCCAAGACTGAGCGCAAACTGATTGCTCGGATCTTCCGCACACAACCGGAGCTGTATCGAACAAGCCTTAGGCGTAACCCACACCTCACCCCCAAGCCCAACCTCCGCAAGCGTACACCCCATCGCCAGCTTCAACTGAGCCAGCACAAGATCCACCCCCATAACCTCCTCCGTAACCGTATGTTCAACCTGTAACCTAGGGTTAATCTCCAAGAAATAAAACTCCCCACTCCCCTCATTAACCAGAAACTCCACCGTCCCCAAAGACCTATACCTAATAGCCCTCCCCATCCTCACCGCAGCATCGACCACCCTCTTCACAAGCCCTCGATCCCCAATCACCGACGGCGCAATCTCAACCACCTTCTGAAACCTCCTCTGCACACTGCAATCCCTCTCCCACAGATGCCTCACCTCCCTCCCATCCCCAACTATCTGCACCTCCACATGTCGAAACCCCTTCACAGCCGCCTTCTCCACAAAAACCGTCCCAGACGGCGACTCATTCACCGCACCCCTCACTGCGCCCTCCAACCCTTCATCCCCATATACAAGCCGAATCCCCCGCCCCCACCCCCATCCACTGCCTTCACCATAACAGGATACTGCACTTGCTTCGCGAATGCCCGCACCTCCGCAACATCCGCCGTCGGCTGCGCCATCGCCGGCAACACAGGCACGTCGCATTCCACGGCTAGTTGCTTGGCTTGCAGCTTGTCCCCCGTGCGAGATAGTACTGAGCTGCCCGGTCCTATGACAGTAATGTCAGCGTCTTGTAGACGGGCTGCGAAATCGGCGCTTTCGCTGAGGAAGCCGTAGCCTGGGTGGATGGCATCGATGGCATGCTCTTGGGCTAAATGCACTAAGTACGGGATGTCGAGATATGTTGACACTGATGGGATGAGTAAGGCTTGGTCCGGGTGAGCGGTGTCGCAATGCGAGGTGTCGTCTTCGGTGTAGATGGCGTATACTTCTATGGGTGGGGAGAGCTCGCGTGCGGCTTGGATGATGCGGACGGCGATTTCGCCTCTGTTGCTTGTCATTTAGGTGTAATGTAGAGATGGGGAACGACGCACCTGTTGGCGACGAGAAGTCGTCGGAAGGGTTTAGAGGCTGTCATCATGCTAATGGTATGTTGTAGTGAAAGATTGATGGATTCGAAAGCATAGATAGATAGATAAATTGAATTGACATGATGTATGTCTAAATGGGGTTGGTTGCATCCCTCGGACCTCGGACTTAAGAGACCGTTGTGCTCATAGATATGATCTTACCCCTCATGAGGGACAACCCGCTGCAGTAACATGGAAGGGGGAAAGCCCTGCAATTGAAAATAAGCTCAACAACCACAGCTTGAATAAATGACATGAAAACCACATAACTAATATTGAAACACATCATGTCCGACAAAACCGACAAACCTCCCAAAGAGGACACCCCCTCGCGCAACCGCGCAAGCAAACGCCTCCGCCAACTCTCCGCACAGGTACTACCACCCGACTACTCCGACGTGCTCTCCCACATCAACACTCTCCGCACACTAGCCACAACCCCGGACCCATCTCGCAGAGGCTACATCCGCCAAAAGCAAGCCGGGAAGCTATGGGTTCGCGAACGCCTCGAACAACTTCTCGATCCCGACAGCTTCCAAGAAATCGGCTCGCTCTCGGGCACTGTAACATGGGAGAAAACCGGGCCTATGCGCGAGAAGCCCGTTGCATTTACCCCAAGTAACAATGTCCAGGGTATGGGGAAATTGCATGGTCGGAAAGTTCTACTGACTGCGGATGATTTCACTCTCCGGAGTGGTCATGCGGATGGTGCTTCGCATGGGAAAACTATCTATCTGGAGAAGCTGGCATTGGCGCTGAGGTTGCCGGTTGTTAAGTTGGTAGATGGGAGCTCGGGAGGAGGTAGTGTTACTACGATTCGTACGGCTGGGTGGAGTTATTTGCCGTATGTGTCGATGTATAGGCATGTTGTGGAGCAGTTGAACAAGGGAATTCCGAATTTGGGGGCTGTGGTTGGGCCGGCTGTATGTGTTTTACTCATTTCTTTCATTGATTGAAGTGAGGGTATATTAGCTGACAGTGGTGTATAGATTGGATTGGGAGCTGCACGAGTAGTATCCTGTCATTTCTCCGTCATGGCAGCGGATGTGGGATCACTCTTTAACGCAGGCCCGGAAGTAGTCAAGGGGGCCACTTTCGAGGAAGGACTGGACTTTCAGACTCTAGGTGGCCCGATGATTCACTGCACTAACGGGACCATCGATAATCTAGCCGCCAATGAAGCCGAGTGCTACGAACAGTTACGCACTGTATTGAGCTACCTGCCCAACTCTGGGCGGGAAGCACCACCGGTTATTGTTACTGATGATCCAGAAGACCGTGAGGATGAGGCGCTGCGCCGGATCATCCCTCGACGGCAGACGCGCATGTACAACCCGTGGACTATTATCACCAGCGTCGTGGACAAGGGGTCATGGTTCGAGATTGGTGCGCTCTGGGGTTGCACTGCTATCGGGGGCCTGGCGCGCCTAGGAGGGCGGCCGGTGGGCGTGATATCGCTCAATTGTGAGGTCAATGGGGGAGCTTTGGATGCAGCAGGCAGTCAGAAGCTCGCGCGCTTACTGAAGCTCTGTGATGTGATGAATCTGCCTGTTTTGCAGTTCATTGACGTTCGTAAGTGATACGCTGTGTTCTTCCCTTTCAAGACAATTTCCGCTGATGATATACGATATAGCGGGGTACGCCATTGGCACCGTCGCAGAACGAACCGCGACTATGCGCTGGGGCGTAGAACTAGGCAAGACGTATTTTACTACGACGATGCCCTTGTTCAATGTCATTACGCGACGAGCCTATGGCGTGGCTGGAGGACTTATGCTCGGAGCGCGCGACCCGGTCATGCAAGTGGCTTGGCCATCCGGTCAATGGGGGTCCTTGCCATTGGAAGGTGGGATTGAGGTTGGACATCGTCACGAGCTGCGCGAAGCAGAGAGATTAGGCCAGAAGGAAGCCCGGTATAAAGAGCTGGAGGAGGAGTATCGACGGTTGATGAACCCAGTGCGGACGGCAAATGCATTTGGCGTTGAGGAGATCATCGACCCGAAGGATACTCGGCGGGTGTGTTGCGCATGGGCGCAACATGTATACGAGGTTATGATACCGGAGAGACTGGCCGATCGTGCAGCAGGGAAGATTCAGCCTGTTTTTATGTAGGCTGCTAGTTATGCCCTCTGGTGTTGTGGGCTGTGAAAGTGGAAGATACAATCATTTCCCGCTAGTACTAGTACCTCGTTAGCTTGTAGACAGGGGATGCAGTATATAACCGAGACCACCAAGAGGAAACAAATTAAACCTTCCAATATACGAGATTACCCTGTCGTCCCTGGAAATCCCCACTAAGCGTTCATTTCGGTTAAATCCGATGGTGTCTGACAGCCAAGTGGGGATGCAAGCAAGCAAAAGCAATCAACTGTCCCTGAGGGGTCGCCCGGAGGTTCGGAAATTAAATCAATTTCAGGGTCCATCAATTAAGCAGTAAATAGATAACAGAGAAATAACCCCCTTCACCACCATGTAGCTTTTATAAAATTATTTCTCATCTTTAGAATAACCGTACCAAGTAGCATCCAGCAGAGAAAGACACCATGAACTTCACTATCATCAACGGCCAAATCTACACCCCGGGCCTAGCCATTATCGATGCTCCACAGCCCTATACTCCCCTCGGAGGAGGTACGTCCATCCATCTATCCATTCACCCCCAACCAAACCCCCAACTAAGCAAAAAAAAAAAAAAAAAAAAAAAAAAAATAATAATAAACACAGATACCCTCCAAATCGCCATTGACACCTCCGGCGACGGCCAACTCACCTCTTCCAGCTCCTCCTCCACCGAATTCCATAGCCTCAACCTCTTCCTCACCTCCACAACCACTTACAAAAACCTCACCATATCGAACGGCACCACCCCCAGCGCAAACAACACCTACGTAGGGCCCGTGCTAGACCTCGAGCCCTCATCCACCGTCAAGCACGTGAACTGGATCTGGCCGGCTTGTTTCGTGGGTAGTGGCGGGGATAAATCCCCCCGGGGAGATTATAATGTCTCTATGCATCAGAGTTTCCGGTGGGAGGGGACGGATTATTATACGGTGTTTGAGTTGCCGATTTCGGTGACGAATGCCATTGGGGAGAGTGAGGAAAGGGTGGATTGTGCGGTGTTGGAGAATGAGTGGGTGGGGTGGGAGGTGTTGAGCGAGAGTAATGATACTTTGAAGGGGCAGCCTTGGGTGAGTGGGAGCCAAAGTGGTGGGAGTGGGAGTGAGGGTGAAAGTGGAGGGGATGATGAGAGTACTAGTGGGAGTTTGGGGAGGAGGGGGTATAAAGCTGGGGTTATGGGGTGGGTTGTGTTGGGGTTGGTGATGGGGGTTGTTATGTGTTGATTCTATTGGGTAGGGGGAAGTTCAGTTGGTGTGTTATGATAATGGTAATAAGTTTCGGGTTGTTATATATCTCTACGACAGGCTCGACTCTTCATGTGGTGGATTGTTATTTCTTCATTAAGGTCAAATACATAGATAGGTAGTAGCTCTCAAACTCCGATCCAAATTGAACGCTTATCATCAAGATAGGAAGGACACTAGGCAAACTCCAGCCCAGTATCATACAACAGACGCATCGTGGCGGTCGTGAATAAATGACCAAAGGTGTTAAGACAGAAAGAGAAGATAGAAGCAAAGAACTAAATGAGGGAAGTGGATAGAATGAAGCCCAGGTGGACTCATCATGCACGTCTCATCCGGTGCCTGGTTGGTCCATATTAAATGGAAGGCCGACGGTCGCCCCAAAGTCCAACGATACCCATGGCGAGTGCAAGTCCAGAGAAGACAGCTCGCACCTGCTGGAATCGACGCTCCGTGTTCATCTCCTTCTGCACACTTTCACCGTTGACATTCTCCTCTGCCTCGACCACCACGATGTCCTCATCCTTCTTCTGCTTCTGGACGGTCAGGCAGCCGCATCCGGTGTCCTGCAGAACAGACTGGACCCAAGCTACGAAGCCATCCTGGCCGTGGAACCAATAGTCGAAAACATAAGAGCCAACGGTTGAGGTAACGCACATCCAGATCAGATAAGGGTGCTTGCGCTGTTTAGAAGAGAGGCTATACGCGAACAGGAGACATCCGTTGGCGATGTTGGTCAGCCGCAGACCATGTTTACGGTTCAACCGCTTGACCTCGTTGAGGGACCGGGACGCGGTGGTAGCAGTGGGAAGAAGACTCAGGGAGGGGATGGCGACACTGGAAGCGGAGTATGACATGCCCTAGAGATGATACATTGCGCGTCAGTTGGCGGTTGGACAGCTTTCATGAGAACTAGCCGAGAAGGCTCAAAATGTTCGCAACAGGTCATAGAAATCATACCGTGAGCAGTCCCAGGGACACTGTGCCAACGAACTTCGAGACGGTGATGGGACACGCCATGGTGATCGCGGGACGAAAGTCAATGCTGCAACAGGAACGTTGTGACTTGAAAGATTTGCTACCCTAAGGAGAATAGAAAATCACTTTTCGAGGCGCCTGATAGAATGATTTGTTGATTGAAGACGTGGTGCGCTTAAAACTTCAAGGCGGGTGCAAAGATAAGGCCATAGAAAAGTTCGCGATGGCAGAAGTGACGTTGTTGCATGCCTGAGGCTGGCGGAGATCTGTCAGCCAATCACCAGCTCGCTGTTAACATCCCGAAACGCATCCAAAGCTAGTCCTATTCCAGCTAGCTCTCTGAAGTCATGTCTTTCACGGAACTAAGCCCAAAGGAGGCACAAAGAGTGGATTCACCAAAGACTAACCTACCGAATGGAGTTTAGACCCGATTAGTATTCAAGACGAGAAGCCGAGGCTTGGACTCGGAGTAACCGTCGGATTGCGGAGATTCCATCCAACGACCACCCGGGGTTTCAAATTATAACTATCAACTCTCTGAGGTAACCTAAAAATCGCGAAGTAGCGACTTAACAAGATCGTCCTTCTCATACATACAGTGTATATACTTACATAATATTCTTACCATGTCCCTCCCCAAAGAAGCCTACCTGAGTAACACGTGGAAGGATGGCCTGTTCAGTGAGTCGGTCACTACATGCTCCGGCGGTCACTGACAATCAGCAGCAAACAAGGTCGTCTTCTGTACGGGAGGCGCAGGAACCATTTGCAGCGCGCAGGTTCGTGCTCTGGTTCATCTAGGTGCCAATGCTTGCATTATTGGCCGAAATGTCGAAAAAACCGAGAAAGCAGCCCAGGACATTGCAACTGCCCGTCCGGGTGCTAAGGTCATCGGCATTGGTGCAGTGGATGTACGAAAGTTGGACAGTCTTCAAGCTGCAGCAGATCGCTGTGCTCAGGAGCTGGGTGGTATTGACTATGTCATGTAAGTGTCACTTCGTTTTGGCTGGTTCTCTACTAATCTGGGTTAAACTACCCAGTGCTGGGGCGGCCGGAAACTTTCTAGCCTCGATCAACCAGCTCTCGGCGAATGCTTTCAAATCGGTCATCGACATTGACGTTCTGGGATCCTACAACACCCTCAAAGCGACGATCCCATACCTTGTTGAGTCGGCGAAGAAGCACAGAATGGACTCCGAAACTCGTAAGTGGACGAAATCGCGATATTCGCGATAAGCTCTAACATCAGGCCATCATCAGTCAAACCCTCTGCAGCAGGAACTGGAGGACGTATTATATTTGTTAGCGCCACTCTCCACTATCGCACGGCACCTTTCCAGACGCACGTCTCAGTCGCCAAGGCAGGCGTGGATGCGCTGTCTCACAGCGTGGCCATCGAGTTTGGCCCTCTGGGCGTCACTTCTAATATCATTGCGCCCGGACCCATTGCTTCGACAGAGGTTTGTATTCGTCCCACATATTGTATAGATACGCACATCTAACTTTTATCATAGGGCCTAGATCGTCTCCTTCCTAGTGATACGAAGGACACTTACATCAAGTCACAGCCGCTTGGCCGAGTCGGCTCAGTGCGCGACATTGCAGATGCCACGGTTTATCTCTTTGCGGACACTGGCAGTTATGTCAGTGGTCAAACTCTAGTGGGTGAGTCTCATCTTATCCAGATTCACCATAAATAGTATGTTGACACCTTTATAGTTGACGGCGCATCCTGGCGGATGTCAACCACTGGGGCAACATCGGGTAAACTTGCGTATCCCGATTTCCTTCTTTCAGGGAACCCCGTCCCCAACGTCAAAGGCCAGAAGAAGTCTAAGCTGTAGAGGTCTGTCTTTCTTTCTGGGCACAGGATAGACACTGTCTTGCTTTGCTATCTCCCATAGAGAATACTCTTTGTTCCCCGGGTTGGTACATAGTATACTTTAGATAAAGAAGTCTTGAAGAAGGGAACAAAGGCACAGTGTGCTCCAACTCTGTACTTAGACTCCATGTTTCATTAGGACATATAATAAAGACTAATTGGAGTTTCAGACAATGCCTTGCTTCAGCACCATTCGATGTAAGATAATTACTGAGCAACCACGTAATGCATGAAAGCAACAATGGACTGGGTTTTTAGTATGCCGGTAGTCTACGTTGTTATGCCCAAGACAGATAAAAGACTGGCACACGAACTACCTGCTATATCGTTAATTCTCCGATGAAATTGTACTCGAATATCTAGCCTCACGTCCAACACGAGCAAAAGAGGCACTTCTACTCCCTAATTACGAAAAAGCCTTAAACCTTTCTTTTACTCCCAATTCTGCACACCCGCCAAAATGTCAGGCAGACGACCACCCAACCAACGGAGGATACGAATCGGAGCGCATAAGCAACTAACTGCATCCGAAAACGACCCCGAAGAATGGCCGCAGGACAATGACAGCATAACCCAGCAACTCACAGAAGCACAACGTAGAGCCTTAGAATTCGAAAGGGAGAACAAGAACCTAGCAAGCCAAGTCCATGATTTGAACCAAGTGCTTGTTGAGCGAGAACAAGCCTTCGCGCAATCAGAGCAAGAGCTACGAAAGACCCAAAAAGAACTCAAAACGGTAGAATCCCAAGTCAAGACGAACGAGGGGCATGTCCAAGCGGCCTACAGCGAAAATACTATGCTTAGTACGAAGATCAATGCGCAAAGTGGCCAGATCAGTCGCCTTCGTCAAGAGCAGAAGAAGTTGAAAGACGAGGAGGCTATTCGCCGTGGTGAGAATGAGAAACTACAGCAGCAGATGCTTGAAGCAAGTCGAGAACTGAATGAACTTAAGCAGAAGCTAGCGGCGAAGGAATCGGAATCTGCAGCGCAAGAAGCGGAGAAGAAGCAGCTTGCTAGGGCGATGGATAAATATAAAGGGAATGATGCTGAATTAAGAAAGCAGTTGAATAGGCTTGCGGAGCAGGTGCATACGAATGAGTCTGCAATGGCAATAGATACTGTCGCACAGCCTACAAACGCGATGTCAACCGCATTGGTTCCTTACACTCAGAATAAGCTGATTGCTAGCAACCCCTTCGGCTCCTTCAACACCCAGAAATCATCTCTGACACTGAGGCAGGAATTGGGAAGTAGCTTGTATAGTGGATCGCAGAGCACCGCAAGTAGCGATGCCCCGACACCGGTGGGCCAGAGAGGCAGCATGAGCAGCATTTTTAGCGCGCCAGCAATAACTGCTCAGAATCCTAGGCCACCCATTGAGGCGGTTCCGGTGGACTGGAGCAATATCCAGCAGGCTGCCAAAACCGGCGCCATTCCGCATGTGGGACAAGCCCCTGTACCTAGCTCCAGCCTGAAGCGACCTTTTGCTGGATTGGAAGCCTTGCAGGGCTTTGATGGCTCGGAAGAGGCGATCAAGAGGCTCCGTGTTGCTGCCGATCAGCAGAATCTTGGGTCCAATTCAGACAACTCATTCTTGACTCTTTTCCAAAAGTATTTGCAGACGTTGCAGGAGGCGACTAATCAGAACCAGAGTCAGCAAGAACAGTTAGAGTTGTTCAAGAAGACTGTCCAAGCTCTGACCGCGCAAGGCAATATGAGCATTGGAAGTCAGTCATCGGACCCCCAGATCAGTTGGATTCATGATTATCAGAAGGCTGCTGCACACGCAGCGAATAATCCTTCAAAAGCTCAGCCTCAGGCTATAGTTACCGGCGTCAAGCAGTCAAAAAAATCACAGCCCAAAGAAAAGCCAAAAAGATTCCTCACACGTACACTGACTAGATTCGAATCATGGCCAGTATATCTGGAAAAGAGATATGATCCGTCGACTTTATTGACGGTACCACCTATTCGAACGACACGAAAGAAGTTTGCCAGTTTCTCAGTCCCTGGTGCATTCGTTGAAGATGATAAGACTGATAGCACAGGGTCGGAGTCACAGTGGGAGTTTCAAACCGCACCAGAGTACTTCGAACCTCGGGTCAGTGTCCCAGAGCAAGTACCGATACCACCTGCTGTCATAATGGCACGGTTGGCTTTGCTCTTAGTGGGAGCTTTTATAATCGTGACGGCGGTGATTGAAAATCTCTTCGGACAGACGAATAAAACGCAGGACGTCTGGATGCAATATAATGAGGTACCTGAGGATGTCTTGGCCAAAGTCCGGGGCAGTGGAACCCCTGTTGTAGGGTCGATGCAGGGCTTGGATTACACCTTCGCAAGATTCGTCGATATCAGATCACGTCTAGTGGGATGATAGATGAATCCGGTCTGCTGGTACAGAGCGGGTATGCGATCTCAGGGAGCAAAGAAAGTATATTCCAGAGTTTTCTATCCATGCCTCGTGTCTTGCCTACGATAATCAAGATGGCTTATGCGTACAAAGTAGTTGTGGTACTGATCGACCACCATAAAATGAACGGGAGTCAAGGCTATTTTAGGAAATCTATACCACGTGACTATTATTTTGCAGCGGATGCGTCAGCTGCTTCCAAAGAGGTAGGCGGTGGGAATTTCATGCGTCACCTGCTCCACCCGCGCGCCATCAACAGCCAATCAGGAAAGAAATCGGGCGATGCGCGATTCGCCTTTGAACCCCCCTCCTGGCTGGCTATGCAAAGAAGCGCTCGCTGGTGGAATCCATATCATCAAAGCATTCCCCCCATTCATCCGGTTCTTATTTTCACAGCTGGATATCATCCGCTTTTCATCTCAATAACTTTTGTTCCCATCGCCAAACGATTCCTTCCTTTCATCGTTCTTAGTTTATAGCGCCTTTTCTCCCGTCTTATTCGGTGCTTGGCTTAGATCCGCCTCGGCCACCATGCACCTCCGTTCGTGCCTTGTGGGGAGCGTTCTCGCTCTCGGCGCCAACGCCTTCCTCGTTATCCCCGAAGTCGAGGAAGCCGTCGCCCCTGAGGGTGACTTTCCTCCCCTCCACCCTTTGGAGGTTTATGCTCCCAAGAAAGAGCAGGTTGAGCTTGCCTGCACCGAATGTCCGTTCCGTGAAGTCAGCGAGGATGGGAAGGTCAGCTGGACTGACGGCTTCCAAACCTCTTTGGTAAGTGGCTCCGAGCCGGTGTCTAGTACGACATCGGAAAAGTGAAGGGACATGGATGCTAACAGTCGCGGCAGTTGGTTGACTTCTCCACCGAAAATGGCTTCCTTCTGGCCAACGGTCGTCAAATCTTCCCTCCGCCACCTCCCACTCTCATCACTGCCGTTCAGCGCCGGGCGTCGGATGGCGTAGAAACGGAACCCATCCCGTTGGGATACGCTGTGGAGGAAATGCCTTTGCCCACCCCGCCTGAGGACCCTATGGATTTGGTCGCTGTGCGTTTCACTGTCCTCGACCTCGATAGTCGCCCGGTCCCCTTGGATACAGTGGCTTTGACGCTTCTCCATGACCCTAGCAGCGGCGAGCTGTACATCGCCAAGACTGAGATCGAAGAAGCGACCCCCGACCGCGTCTCTTGGAAACAGTGCCGCGGAAAGCCCAAGTGTCTGAGGAAGCTATTGTTCGACCGGATGCGTGCCTTGTTCGCAGCGGCCAAGGCCCGTATGCTTGGAATGGCACCTAAGCCGAAGGGCTGCGGTGGTCCTCACGGTTTGGGCTTGCCTCCCCCGCCCCGGCCTCACCATCATCACCACCACCACCCCGACGACAAGTTTGACCCTGAGCGCATGCCGCCCATGCCGCCCATGGAGGGAGAGAAGGCTGGGTTCCACGGCCACATGGACAAGTTTGACCGCCCCCACCATCATCACCACATGCACCACATGCACCATGGCCAGTGGGAACGCACCGTCCACCGCGTGGTCCGTTTCATCGTCGTTCCCGCTGTGCTGGGTGTTTTGGCTGGTCTGGCCGCGAGCGCTCTTGGTATGCTGGTCGGCCAGATCGTAGTCTTCATGTGGCAGCGTTTCCGCCGGTCTACTCCCAAGAAGTCTTTGGAACAGGGTACCGTGTCTGAAAAGCAGGGTCTGATGATGGAGTCCGAAGAACTTCCCCCGGCGTACAGTGATGAAGAGCCTGTAGCTGAGGAAGTATCTTCGGCTAAGAATTAGTTCGACCCTCAATAATATTTGCTCTTTTTTGCCCCTTCATACCGCATGTTAAGATACTGCACCGATCTTGATCTTTGCTACAAAATGATGGATTTGGCAAGACTTTCGGGCACCTCTCAAAAAACAAATACATCTCTGAACTTTTCGTTGGTTCATCCAAAGTGATACTGTATAGCGAACCCTCGTTTCATTTTTTTTTCTCTTCTCAAAATCTTTTCAAACTCATCTTCATTCGATCATGGTTTTCCGCGGGGATTTTCTAGTTCGCTCTCGGCTTTTCCCTGTCGGCTGTACCAAGCTACTAGTCAGACTTCACTAGCTTCCTTATGTAGTTCCAATATGGTTTATAAGTTGTTCCGTAGCGGAAGCACTGTGCATTAACAGTAACACCTACACTAAAGCAGGGGTGCACGTAGCTGCACTGGGGCTGCCTCGTGGATGTTTCAGAGCAAGACAGACCCTTATCACGTGAGGATATTCACGGCCGCCTGCCAGGAACGGCCGCCGCCAACCTTCCCCTCCTCTTCCTACCATGCCAACCGTCATCGCCCAAGGTTCTTCTGTCTGTCGCAGCCAGAAGCCCTCGCCGGACGATGTTGCGCTAGCTCTCTACGATGACCCTGATCCCTCTTGTGAATCATTCGTGGGCTTCTGTGCATCTTCCTTGCCGAACCCTGACTGCCGCTTGAGCTCCAGCAGCTCCCGCTTCCGTCCGAATCGGCCGTCAGCCGGATACTCACCCCAGACGCAGGAGGATACCTGCCTGTTCATTCATTTCACGCCACCGCACCAAGTTTCTCGAGCGCCATGATGCAGTGGACGTCATTCGTTCAGAAAGCCCAGTCCTTCATCGACCCGGCGAATTTCACCCTTCCTACCCTCTCCTCCTCCGATCGCAACCCGTCCAAAGCCTCCCTGTTTCGCCAGCAGTTCCGCCTCCCCGATTCCCAAAACCCGCTGCAAGAGA